CCCCCCCCCCCCCCCCTTCCCTTCCACTTTTTTTCAGCACCACCCATTCCTTCTCAAGTCCCCTTTTTTTTGGTTAAATATTTTACTCCTTTTTTTAAGTTTTTTGTTTCATATTTTATCCGATTTTATTCGTTTGTTTTTTGTTTTCGAACTTTTGTGTTTGTTAGAGTTTTTTTATTTTATATTGTTATTTTAATATTATTTGTTTGTTTAGTTAGAATTGTTTTTGTGAAACGTTTCTGGTAAGTTTTTTTTATCTTGTCTGTTAATAACTGTCTTATTTTTTGTTGAATTTACTTTTTTATTTTTTTGATAGTGTTCTGTCTTATTTTTATGTATTCTGTTAATAACTTTCTTATGTTTTGTTTAATCATTTGAATTAGACAAAAAAAATTGAACCATGCGTCTCAGTTTATTTTTTTGTTTCATTTGGTATTTTTGTTTGTTAATGTGTTTTGTCTATTTTAATCTTTATCCTAAACAATTAAACAAAACAAGTGAATAACATAAGTCCAAAATAAACAAATAAAAAAGATGAAAAAATAGAAAAATAAGAAAACAAAAAATATCAAAAAACAAACTAAAAAGACATATTGTACCATTTTTGTTTATTTAAAATGATACTCCCTTCGTCTCAAATTAAATTGTCTGTTTACTATTCACATGGTCAAACTTTATCCACTTTATTTTTTATTTTTGTTAGTTATTTGATAAAATAAAGTAGTCATGTAATCATGTCACCACTAATTTTATGAATCTTTTGGTGTAATATTTTAATATTTATTTTTTATTATTTAATTGTCATTTTTCATATAAAAAAATTTGAAAATAATTTTAGTCAAACATTGTAAAATAAAACAAGCAATATAAATTGGGATGGGGGGAAGTAAATAAGATATAACTAATTAATAATATAAAATAAAACCAAACTAAAAATAAGTGGAACATAAAAAGAGGTAATGGTATGCACAAAACAAGAACGAATCTAAGTTTGAATTAATTTTTTACTTCTTTTTAATTAAAAAATTAAACATATAAAAATAACAAACAAAAATGATAAGAAATTTGTTAACACGATAAGCAAGAAACAAAAGGAGATTAATCAATTATTTTTATTTTATTATTATTTTGTGTACATTCCGGTTTTAGTTTCTAGTTCTCATTTTTTATTTATCTGGGTTTATTTTATATAATTATTTTCTTTTTATTGTTTACAAAAAAGATCGAAAACAAAAACATAAGACAAACAGATGTTGGAATTTTTAGTTAAATTGGACATTTTTCGGACATAAATTCGGTAGGGTCCACAAAATTATTTTCTAAAATAATCATGGATGTTTAATCTCGTAAGTGAGATAAGTGTTACGACATATTACACGCCAAAAATGGTGCTCGGGTGAATGAGAAATTAAATCACAAAGTCGAACACGTGGGAAGAGTAAAAATCACTGTCCCACACCGGATCTTGAACCTTTCATATTCATATATTTAAACTTAAAATTTAATTTAGCTTATGAAAGGAACAAGAAAGGACTCCTCGCGCACCGCCGCTGTCCGTCTGGTAAAGGAGGGCTTGGCTGCAGGGAAAAACACTTGAAAAACGTCTCTGAAAAGCTTCCCGACTATCCCCGTTTCCGATAATCTTCTCTGGCGATAAATTCTTGTCCTTCTCGTTCGTCGGTGCACAGTTCTACCGCTCTAGACCTTGCACATTGCGGTTTATCCTGGGAGTGGATTGCCCATGTTTTTCAGTGCAGGAGGCGGACAATACTACCTTAAGGAAAGCTCCGAGGACTCCGCTTTCCTAACCTCTAGTTCGAGAAATTGCTCCGGTGACACCCTACCGTCCGACGTCTCTGCTCGCCGATCAAGGCACCTGTCCGTTTGTGTTCTTGTCACTGCCCGTTTGTATTCTTGGTTCCGTTTCAGTCCGTTCGAGCTTCCTGAAGACTTCAACTTTCTTTATTTTATTTCCATTGTAAAATCTGAACGTTTTATAAGTTCGGATTATTATTTTTCTTTTTATTCCCGCTGTAATCTTTATAAGGTAGTATTCTTCATGGACTTCGGAGGGTGAGTTTTCATTCTTTTTTTTTTGCTCAGAGTGGAGGGTTAAAACTCTAGGAATTAAGATGTGGCAATTAAAGGATCTTGACAGGATTGGTTGAGATGGAGTCACGGGTACAACGATAACTGGAAGCGGCAAAGACCGTGTGATATTGAACAAGCTAATGTGGAGCCACAAAAGCAATAAATGATGACAAAGATCTTGTGGTTTTGAGCAAGATTGGGTCACAAGAAAATTTACAATGTGACGGTGATCTCGGTGGATTGATCGTGGTGGAGCCACATGGTTTTTCTTTTCTTCTTTGAGGTTGGCGCGCAGTGATCTCAAGGAGTAAATCGAGATAGAGCCAAGGTAAATTTATCTTTGGGGGTAGCGGTGATCTCACGGGACAAGTGATGTGGAGCTACAAAAATTTTTGATTATTTAAACAAGGTGGATCTTGTTGGGAATTTGATTAAGTATTCAAAAAGGAAGAAAAAACAAGACAAAGAAGATAAAGAAAAGAAAGAAAGAAGATACAAATGGTAGATCATCCATCATGCATGTATGTGAACATACATGTGGTGTTGATGGGGCCATTATCATTTTGTTCTTGGTTGGAAAATTATTGCAGGACACTCCCTATATAATTGAGTGTCTTAGAGAGAGAGTGTGTGAGCGTGGTTTTCAACACACCAAAGTAGAGAGAGAAACAAAGAAGAGGGTTTTACACAAGAATACTACCGGAAAAATCCAAGGAGTCTTGGCGACTGTGAGTGAGTGTAGGGAGTGACCGGTATTTAGCTACTCGGAAAAATACATCCGGGCATAGGATGCGAAAAGATCTGTGTATGAGTGTCTGGAATTTAGCATCGTAAACAAGGGAGAGAGTTTTTTGTATATTGTCTTGAAAAAGTGAAAATATAATTTATTCTCTCATATATTCTTCTTGTATTTGTTCTCTCATTTTTCTTGTGTTCTCAATATTTTTGGTATTTACACGCTTAAAATCCCAACAAAGGCATATGGAGGCTCCGATGAGCGTGGCACGAGTGGTTGACGACTAACGGGTCACGACAAAACAGTGGGAGGAGCACAGTTGTTTTGGAGTCCAAATGGGAGAAGCCAAGGGTGGGGGAGATGAAGTGTAATGTTAATGCAAGTTTTGATCCGATTACGGAGGAAGCTAAAGCCAGGATCGTGGTACGTAATGATCAAGGTCATTTCGTGCGAGCAACATCTAGATATATGGGACGTGTGGAGAGTGCATTAATGGCGGAAAGCATGGGCGTTCTGGGAAGGCATTGAAATGCCTTAAGGGACTGGTAGGAGGCCAACGCATTTCATTGGAGATGAATAACGAAACATAGCAGATAAGAGTTCGTCTTATTTTAATAATGTTATTTGTGAGATGGATAACGAAATATGTTTTTAGGCTCTGTGCAAGCAAATAAGAGTTCGACTTATTTTAATAATGTTATTTGTCATGAGCATGGCGTGAAAGATCAGTGACAAGATTGCTCATTTGTTGGTTAGAAGGAGTGACTATATGTTTGATTATCCAGAGTGGGTGTAAGTCTCTCCCATTTCCATTTGGGACATACTCGAACCTTTGAATTATTGAATGAAGTTCTTTTTAAACAAGAATAATTTTAAGGGTACACTAAAATGGAATACCTCATTTGTACACGAGGCAAAGAAAGACATTTAATATCTATATTTATCTGTGTATGCCTGATGTATAAATGAGATACCTCGTACTTCTGACATGTCCTTTTAAAAAAGTATCATGGAAAAAACAAGAGATCTAAAGCTTGATAATGTGGGTGTGGAGATGATATGGACTAGAGAAAAATGGGGATGAATAATGATTAGAACGATGAACAAAACCTCCACCTTCGCTGCAGCACTCGTCGTTCCCCACCGCACAACACCACTCGCGGCGAGTCGGGAGTTGCCAGACCGCCTTCCTTTGTCTCCGCCCGTCACCTGGCTAAGAAGGCTAACAGGCACGCCGGCTTCTTTTGTTTTTTTTTCCAAAAAAAAAATTGGGATAAATTTGAAAGAAATTGCCAAGGGACTGCAAAATGAAATTGTTACGGAGTACCTAATTTGAGATCCTACATCGCTTTTTGGAAATTAGAAGTTGAAATTTATACGGATCATTATCGTCTGAATTGTTTTAATAAATACTACGTATCTGATATGGACTATTTGAGTTTTATGAATTAAACTTGTAGTTTTTTGAGATTGGAGATCTGTGTAAGAGTTTTTATCAAAGTGAAAGTTTCTAATCTAATGAGTAATGAACACATGGTTGGTTTGTTGATTCTCAAAAGCTTGGTGAGTTGTGGAGTTGTGTAGAATTTGAGATTTGTGATTACAGAGTATTTGATTAGAAATTTGAGATTTCCAATCTGATATCTAGCATAAACTTAAGGAAAAGACTGCTACTTAGGAGGCTCATCTCATTTAAAATGTGTTTTTTTTAATAATTTCGTAGACTAAGACATTGATTCTCTATGTTCTATTACACTACTTCATGTTGATATTTTAAATTTATTTATACAATTACTCATATATTGTGGCATTCTTGATGTGCAGGTACTCATATATTTTTTCTGTCTTCTTCCACTTTATATGGTCCAGTTCCTCCACCAGTTCAACATCGCTTAACTGATACGGACTATATCTTCTACTGAAATGTCGCAAAGATGCATGAGGGGACGCCATGACATTTATAAATTTATTTCACAATCAAACTGAGTTAAAATTTTGACGTGATTTATCTCGCAGTCTATATCTTGTAACCGTCATGCCCTCCTTTGAATCTGAATCAAGAAGCTTTTGTATCAATCTAGGATTCTAGGGGCATTGGTGACATTACTGTTGGGTAGATGCATATTATAGTAATGACCGTGTTTTTTGTATACCTGTCACAGACAAAAACACTATTTTTCTTCTGCTGCACATCACAATAGTTGTTCTTTCTGATTGTTGTGGATTGTGATAACATTTTCATATAGAACTGCTCTTTGCTTTGTTTCGTTTTCAATTTTTCATATACAGCTCTACATTCTAACTGCGGTCTACCAATGAGCAGTTTCAGCTCATGGCTTCATTTAGATCATTTTTAAACAGTCCAGTTGGCCCTAAAACAACTCATTTCTGGGGTCCTGTTGCAAACTCGGGATTTGTTGCAGCGGTGTGTTGCTTAATCAAAAGATAATATTGAGTAGAATTTGAGAAGTTCATTCTCCTTTGCTTGATTATGTCAACGGATGTTGCAGGGTCTGGCAGACACGCAGAAGCCTCCTGAAATGATATCTGGAAACATGACATCAGGTAAATCAGACCCCCACCTTAGAGGAAGAGACGTGTAGTTTCTGATTTAGAGCCTAATATTCTTATTTAATTGGTGTTGCAGCAATGTGCATATATTCTGCATTGTCCATGAGATTTGCATGGATGGTTCAGCCTCGCAACTATCTGCTTTTGGCATGCCATGCCTCAAATGAGTGTGTTCAGCTGTATCAACTATCCCGTTGGGCAAAGGGTCAGGGGTAAGTGATTATGTACGTAATTTTGTGCCATCTTTATATTTCGTGTTACTCCATAAGACAATCTTTTGGTGAAAAATGCATTTGTTTCACAATTCTTGCCTATTTTGTTAAAGCCACTATAATTGTAACCAGAGCTCAAAGCTTTATCCTCTAGATGACTTTTTTTAAAATCTTTAACTCACTTTGCAGCCATTATAGCACTTTGAAAACCAAAGTAAATAAAACATGAATGAACAAATAAATAACTAAATAAATTGTGAGAAAGATAGATCTTTTTGCTGTATAAAAGGTAAAATATTGGGCTGTCAATTTTACCCGTATTGATGCGAAGCCGAATCATTCATTCTGAATGTTCGTACAGAAACCCAAAAACATACGGGGGCAAATGGATGGTGGATAGATTCGATTCCAAATCGGATGCGATGCGGGTAGGCATACATCCACCCACCCACTACCATATATATGACATTTCTGGAGTTTTCAATGCTATTGAGCTATTAAATTTCCTTGGTATCTTGCCAGTTTTGGCTCCATTCCATGTATTCTCGCCTTCTCGGCCCAGATGGCCAGTATTTTTGCTAAGACGAAACAATGCTCATTTACAAAAAAAAAATCAGGAAGGAATGGTTTTACATTGGGCTGAATGGAAGGATATACTAGAGTACAAGGCAATGAATCGATAATTGGAGATTCGTGATTTATGATATTCCTAAATGAAGAATCTCTTGTGTCTTATAGACTAACAATGATAGATCACCATTTGGGAATGAACTTACAAATGCAGGGCACAGATGAGCAAACATTTTTATTTTGACTTGTTACAGCTTCCTAATCTGGATTGGTTTCCTTAATCATTTAGCATTGACTTGTTTACTTGGCCTATTTTTTCAACGGTTATGAGTTTGTTTTCCATTCCCTTATTTCTTTACCAGGGATGGAAAAGTTAAATACTCCAGTACAATCCTTAAACCAGTTGAGCTTATAGCATTATGCACACGTGATGAAGCTGATCTGACTTTTCCTTGTGCTAATATCTCTAAAAACATCTTTGTAGATACTTGCAGCAAAAGCAGGAGGATGAAGCCAATTGAAATTTGTGTCTCATCTATGTTCCTTGTGGATCTCTTTATTCCCATCAAGGTTTGGCTGCTTTTTTTCTTTTTCTAAGATGGCGGCATAAAAAAGAGATTCCAAGTACGGGCTCGGACAGTAAGCTGGAAGAAGGTAAATTGAACTATAAGAATGCAACTTAAAGATCACTCAGGGACCTCTCTTTATATTCGGTTCGTGAATATGATGCTTTTAATTTTTTCTCGAGGCTCGCACTTAAGGAGAGAATCATGTATATGATGCCATTAAGATATGAAATATTTATTTATTTAAATATTTATTTGTATAATGCACTTTTCTTTTTGTGTCAGTGTAAGCTATTTTTATAGTGTGATTAAATTGAGGAGAATGGGACGAAAGGGAGATGAATTAAAGGAGTGGATAATATTTTCTTTATGTTTTGGGAGTAAATGAAAGGTAAGTGATTTGAGGAGATCATACTCATCCTTCCAAATCCTTTATTTTCAATCCCTTCATAAAATTTCTAATCTAAGATATCGAGCGCTTCTTTGGTAGACCTACCAATTTTTTAAACATTTTTCCCAAAAAATGTTTTTTTAAAAAAAAATCTTTATCAAAAATAGCAAGCATTTGCTTAACACCTCTACCTGTGGGTCTACAAACAATTTGGTAAATTTCAAGTCTATCATAATACTTTCTCCGTCCCTAAATATTTATTCATTTTTGACTTTTTTTGTCAAAATTGGTAAATTTTAACTTCAAATTATACTCCCTCCGTCCCATAAAGTGTTACCCATTTTGACTAAAGTTGAAATTAAAGTTGGGATAATTTTGTGTTGACTTTCCAAAAATACCCTTGATATGATGGGTAAAAGTAGGATGTGATGTGTAGATTATTAGAAAAAAGATATGATGTGATAGATAGGGTTTGAAAAAGTAAGAGGTAAAAGTGGTTTTTTAATAGAAATGGGTAAGGGATTGTGGGACACAATTTTTTTGAAACGTGTAAATTTTTTTGGGACGGAGGGAGTATAAAAATGATACTCCGTTTATGTTATTTTATGTAGGAGGGTTAAGGCATGGGCCAACACGTGAGCCCTTATGGGGGTGGTTTTATCTAGGCATCTAGCTAGGGACCAAGAAGAGTCCTATATTGGGTTAAATATAATAATCTACAAGGGCCAAATTATACACAACTCATACAAATCTAATTCTTGTGTCCCTTCCAGTTTGCACAACAAGAAAAAGGGCAGAAAAATTGGCTCCTTTGAGCTGCATAATTGGACATCAAATTAACTCAGCTTTGTAAGTCATACAATCCATCTTCCTCCCATGTATCCACAAGAAGGTCAACCAACTCCTGATACAATATTAGAGTCAGCGAAACGCGCGTGCTTATGGTTATAGAACCGCCAAAATCGAACACAAAAACAAACGTAATGTGACAAGTGTTGACTAGAAAAGACACTCACCGAGAGGGGTACCGGGCAATGGAAAGGCTTGTTCGTCTCCATTGCGCATTCGTAGGAAGCATCCCAGCTACTGTTTTTACAAAAAAAAAATTACAAAGTGAAAAAGTATTCAGACGCGTGGCAGAGAAAATGGGATCTCCCCAATAGAGGCAAAATCGGGTCTTACAATAACAACAAACCCAGTAGAATCCCACAGAACGTATGGTCTGGGGAGGTTGAATGTCTGGTCTTAGAATGTTTTGTCAAATAGTACAAGTGCAAGTTTCTTACTTTAGTGTTGGTTTCCATGAACTTCTCTTTTTCTTGGGCTTTTCACATCCCAGCCACTGAAGCCTATTCTGTTGCCATTTTAGATAACCTGCAATACACACACACAAAAAAAGGTTACTTCTAACAAATCCCAGCCACTGAAGCCTATTGTGATGCCAAAAGCCTATTTTGAAACTTGCCCTGATTTACAAACTCATCATCATGGCTGCTGCTAGTACTTCCCGGAGGCATAAGTTTAATAATGTTCTCCAAGTCATGGGTGCTAGTACTCCAAAAACCATCAGATATGCTTGTTTTCATCAACGACTGCCCATTCGTTCCCAATGCATTTGATGAAGGAGAGTCTTCCATAGATTTGGCACAAATACCAAAGCAGCCTCTGCTTCGTTTCATGTGATCAGTTTATTGACACGAACCACCACAAAGATAATACGTTTTTGAGAAAATACGAATTTTAAAGCAGTGATTAAAGGCTAGATTCTACCCAAGTTTTTTTTTTTGAATCTTTCAATTTTCATGAAATCTCATGTGTATCAAGACACAAACATTGTCACAGAGAGGATGTACAATTATGCTCACTAAAAAGGTATTTTGCATCGGATGAATATTAGGGTTCATCCCAAAAAAAGAAGAAGAAAAGAATGGTATACCCAATGAAAGCAAGAAGCGGAGCGATGCAAAAACCAGAAGAGTGGAACGACATCGTAGGCACAGGCGCTGCTCAGGTCAAGCAATTATTATTAATGGGTTTAAGCTTCTTCAGAAGGGGGAACAAGAAACTCCAATTTCTACAAGAAATCATTAATGGTGATTTAAACTGGGAAATCTTTGTCCCGAGACTTCGCACTTATTGGAAACCAGTATGGTTTTTAGAAGAAAAAGGGAGTGGGAGGAGGCTGCAGCTAGCCGACACGCACTAATTGCTTTTTTGAAAGGCGGATAAGTTTTATTAGAGCATCCGATTTTTCTATCCCCCACCTGAAAGCGTTGACCACACAGATCAGAAGGGCTTAGAGAGAGAGAGAGAGGGAGAAGAAGGGGGCCAAGTATTTGCAATTGTACTACTACTACTACTAGGTAGGGTACAAATGAATAGTGCCCAATCGTAACCTGCGCACAAGTTTGCAAGATACAACCAACAGTCCTAGTCGGACAAATTTTTCTCAATGGAGCAAGTGTTCTCGAAACGAACTTGATGTGGAGCGAGTAGGTCAAGAGTTAACTGGTCGGATTAACGACCCAGTCAATTCAACCGTCAACGTATCGACAATTACTATTACTCTCTCAGTTCTTATAAACACTTTTTATATTGACTTTGGGCAAAAATAAAGAATGGTTATTTGGAACTGATTTTCTAATTTTATCTTTGATGTAATAACTAAAAGTAAGATGTAATGGATGTATTATTAGTGAAAAAAGTATAATGTGATAGATAGGGTAAGAAAATATTGGGATAAAAGTAGTTTTTTAATACAAAGTGAAAGTGTTTTGGAAAAAAAGAAGAAAAAAAAAGATGAAGTGTTTCAAGAAACGGAGAGCATTCAGTTACAGAGTAGTACTCTGTATGTTTTAATATAGGGCAAAGCTACATTAATATGTTAATACGGAGTATGTCTTTACATAGGGCAATGTTCTCTTCGCATAATTGACAATTCCTACCCATCCTGAACTCCCCGACGCCGGCCCCACCCTTGCCCCAACCCCCTCGCTCTCTTACAAATGTGTGGCTACGTTGCAAGTTATACAAAATAAGAGCTAACAAGAATATTTTATTTTATCAAATAGTCAATGAAAATACATAAAGAAACAAAAGTTATCAAGAGGTAGGCCCTAAAAAAAGGACAAGGAGCAAAATAAGAATAAAACATTTACAATATACCGAAATAGAATTAGAAAAGAAAATACCCAAAATAGGAGTTATATTATAACATTTACTAATTAAAAAATGACCGTATTAGAGCATTGACAATGGCGAGTATTGTAATGGAATGCCATGGGATGACGTGTTACCTTCCGACCAATCAAATCAAGCATGCAAAGAGTGTGGCATTCCATGGTTTGCAATGACAAGTCACTCCAATTGTGGCGTGGCACGGAAAACATGGGCGGAGGAGAGGGGGGGCTGACAGGGCAAGTGCCCCCGGCGAGATTCTGGCGAAGTAGTGGTTACCGGAGATTTGAGTTATCAGGCCTGCCAAGTCGAAGTCTGAAGAAGACGACGGATAGACTTCTACTGGCTTACTTTCGATTTAGGTTAGGGTTAGATTAAAATAAAAAAATACTCCTGCTCTGTTTCTTCCCCTGTTCCGCCTCCTCGCTGCTTAGTCTCTGCTGTCGGCAAAGTTGCAGATTTGGGGTTGCGATTACGGTTTCGGAGCAGATTTGGGGTTGCGATTACGGTGGCGGAGGGATTTGGATTTGCCTCGCGAATGCCTCGCAAAGCAGGGTGCCTCACCCATAGGCACGCATGGCAGACTTCCTCCTCTCTCTTCCCACACGGCTGCAAGAAGCGGCTCTCCTCTCATGGCAGGGCGAGGCAATTTTTTTACTCGCCCCTGCCGACGATGCCATTAATGCACTGCCCCAGTCTCCATCAACACCGGCTCCCCCCATTCACCACTTGTGATGCCACCGATGACACCTCCCTCGTTGCCATCAATTGAACATCAATCGCTGTCGCGATCTGCCACTTCGATCAACCGCATTTGTATTTTTACACCTTTGCCGTCGTGCTTTGTCGTCACCACTGATAGTGCCATGGTCATGGTACCATACTAACTGTTAATTAAAGGAAAAACTATATATACAACAGTTAATTAAATACAGCTTCACCATCACAAGGCCATGGTACCATACTAACTGTTAATTAAAGGAAAAACTATAAATACAATGTCAAGTGAATGCCAAAAAATGATAATGCATAATGACAAACATGTGACTGAATAATGTCAAACATGACAATATATAATGTTTAAAATAAAGTAAAATACCAAGAACAATGTAGTTTGCCAATATAAAGTGCCAACACAGTACCAACAACGAAAAATGTTAAACTAATGCTAAAAAAATTCTAACGTTTCATTAAAAGCAAACTAGAAGCACCCAATTAATCACGAAAACTCACAAATCACACCAATCAACTTTTGAGCTATTGTAAGGTTCATCTAAGGAATAATTTTAGAAATAAATAAGATACCGAACAAGGTGGGGGCCGGGTCGTGCTGGTTTAAGAAGAGAGCGAACAACGAGTTCAATTAATGGAAGCCATTTTTAGTGTCTACAAGGAGTAGGGTTGGCGGCAACATGCAATTAGGTGTGGCGGTAGTAGGTTGAAATTTGGCGGTGATATGGATTGTGATAGATCGAGGGAAGAGAGAGAATGAGTGAGAGATCAATCGGGAATTGATCTAATGTTTAAGTTTGAGCTCCTACGGGATCTCTAACTCCTGCGTTGCACGATCAATATTTTGAGATTGTATATAGAAATAGTATATTTAGTGAGTTGCCATTTAAAAAACTATTTTCTCATCACAATTTTTCAAGCACATAGAAGATTTGTCAATTGAGTGTCTAAGTCACTACAAAAAACTGCTAAAATAGCGACGGAAATTTTCCGTCACCATAGGCATAATTCCGTAGGTAATTCGCCTTACGACGAAATTAACGACGGCAACGTTTGCGTCATTAATTTTTTGTTGGTATTCACTTTGACAACAGTTTTTTGTAATTCGTCCCTATGCAACGATAGAAATAGCAACAGAAAAGGGTGATGGTATTAACGACGGTTCTAATCCGTCGTTAGACTAGCGACGGATATGGTGACCAATTTCAAGATCTGACCATAGTATGTAGGCATACGTTATTGGTCGATTGTGTTTTTTTTCCTCTATGAATTGGGAACATCATTCGAACGAGCTTAGCGGATGTCATAGGCTCATAAATATTCTGTGTGATAGAATTTAGGATGGGTATGGACTTCTGGATTGGGTAATAAGACACTGGGTTGAACCACATTAAAAGATTGAATCCAATCCATTAGTTAGTTCAAGTCAAGAGCTTATATATTGATTATTTTGATCTTGAACTTCCGATGTGGGATGACACTCTAACACTCCCCCTCAAGTGGACAACCGGGCCATTTTGAATATATCTGGTTGGCCACTTGCAAATAAACTCTCATTCCTTTGATTTTTTGAGCGCCAATACCTTAAAGGACCACGAGCCGCTGGGTATGGACTTCCAGACGAGCAATCGTGTTAAACGGGCCACAGGCCGTTGGGTACATACTCCATACGGACAACTAGGCTAAAGACTAACGGACCACTAGGAATGAACGTCTAAACGGACACCTTGACAAACGAGGTGGGCCAAAACCTGCTCCGATACCATGATAGAATTTGGCATGGGTATGGACTTGCAAATAAACTCTCATTCCCTTGATTTTTTTCGAGCGCCTACAGCTAAACGACCACGAGCCGCTAACCAATTAGATTCAAAATGGCCCGGTTGTCCACTTGAGGGGATGTCCACTTGAGGGGGAGTGTTAGACTGTCATCCCACATCGGAAGTTCAAGAGCAAAATAATCAGTATATAAGCTCTTAAGTTGAACTAATTAAAAGATTGAATCTAATCCATTTGTTAGTTCAAGTCAAGAGCTTATATATCGATTATTTTGATCTTGAACTTCCGATGTGGGATGACACTCTAACACTCCTCCTCAAGTGGACAACGGGGCCATTTTGAATCTAACCAGTTGACCACTTACAAATAAACTCTCATTCCCTTAATTTTTTTTGAGCGCCAACACCTTAAAGGACCACGAGCCGCTGGGTATAGACTTCTAGACGAGCAATAGTGTTAAACGGGCCACAGGCCATTGGGTACATACTCCATACAGACAACTGGGCTAAAGACTAACGGGCCGCTAGAAATGAACGTTTAGACGGACACCTTGACAAACGAGGTGGGCCAAAACCTGGTCCGATACCATGATAGAATTTAGGATGGGTATGGACTTCTAGATTGGGTAATAAGACACTTGGGTTGAACCACATTAAAAGATTGAATCCAATCCATTAGTTAGTTCAACTCAAGAGCTTATATACCGATTATTTTGCTCTTGAACTTCTAATGTGGGATGACACTCAAACACTGTGGCTCAATGTAACACTAATAGCAAATGTTCAATATTCGGGCATTGGTTCAGTGCATTTAACAAAGTATGAAGTATTTTTTACGGCAGTAATGTTCTTTATTATGGGCATTTAATTTATTGCAAGTAATTGAAGTGTATGCAAATGGTTCGTGGCTCAATGTAAAAAATAATGATAAAAATTCATGGTTCAAAAATATTTTTAAAACATCGTGGACAACTCATACGCGTGGCCCTAAGAGAATTGATTGATCCCTTTTTTCTTAAGATTCACTTAAGGCTCTAGATTCAAGGGACTTCGTGATTTGCTCATTGAGTAAATAATTGAATGTAGTGAGTAATTAAACATGTCATCCAATCAATGGTTCATGGCTCAATATAAAAAAATACTTCGTGGTTCAAGAAATATTTTTAAAATATCTTAGAAAATTGATATAAATACTCCCAGAAATTTGAAATTTTACAATAATACTCCCAAATTTAATAAAAGACTCTGGTGCTCCCGATTAAACTATAAGTTTACATTGCTACTCCCACTATTCCTAATCAGTTTTTCTTATGCTTACATGTAAGTAATTATGCTTAGTTGACATCTTAGTTGTTCTTTTTGTTTTAATAGGAGAAAAAAATTGTATAAATACTCTCTGAAATTCAAAATTTTACAATAATCTCTCAAAACCAAATAAAGATTCCAGTACTCTAAAAAATATTTTCTTTTTACGTGTTATGATGTTTAATAAAAGTGGTGTGAAATCAAAAAATAAAATTATATATCTAAAAACTACATTATAAGATCTATAAAACTAGTAATAATATAATTATATTATTTTATCAAATACATAATTAAAATAGATAAGCAAAGTAGATAAAATTTGATCTTGTTAATACTCTTGATAGTGAATGAGAAGATAATTTTTGGACAGAGGGATATTTTTTATTAAAATATAAAAAACTACTTAAGATGCCAATTAAGCTCAATTAATTAATCTTTAATATTACTAAAAAAATTATTTTTACATATTACTATATTAGTTTTTAATATGTAATTTTTATTTTTTAATTTCATACCATTTTTCATATAAAATACTTTAAAAATAATTTCAGTCAAATATAGTTCGTGCAACGAGAATATACTTTTAGGAGAATTGGAGTCTTTATTTGATTTTGGGAGAATTATTGTAAAATTTTGAATATCTATGAGTATTTATATAATTTTTTCCTCTTATTAAAACAAAAAACAACAACTAAGATGTCAACTAAGCATAATTACTTATTGAATTTGGGAGTATTATTGAATTTGGGAGTATTATTGTGAAATTTCAAATTTCTGGGAGTATTTATATCAATTTTTCCAAATATCTTGGACAACTCACGTGTGTGGTTCTAGGATAATTAAATGATAATCTTTTTTCTTGAGATTTACTTAAGGCTCCAGACTCTAGGGACTTCGTGATTTTTCTATTGAGTGAATATTTTAATGTAGGCCCTTTTCTTTTGGGTCGAAAAAATTAACTTCCAACTCTTTCCACCTCCTTCCAGTTTCTTCCCACTCTTTTCAGTTCCTTTCAACGTTTTCTAGTTTGTTCCAAGAACGACTTAAAAATATATTTATATATGATAAATATACAATAACATTATATATCCAAATTAATAACATACCACCTCAAACGCGTTCAATGATGCATTCTTTTTTATGCAAAATTATAATTTTCTACATATTTATTTGGGTGATCATTAAATTGAGTGAGTTTTTAACAAATAAATTCTTCCAATATTTTCCAACTTCTTCTAGTTCTTTCCAATTTTTTCCAGTTTCCTCCAACTCATTCCAGTTCTTTCCAACAACCAATTCTGAAATTTCAATCCCAAAGAACATGGTCATAGTCTGTACTTGAACGTGTCCATTTAATGGTTCATGGTTTAATGTAACGATGTATCTAAATCTATCACAATATTTATTTGGGTGTTTTTTAAATCATGACATTATAAATTTGATTTCATTTTGTTAGACAATAATATTAATAGTACTTCTTGTAGTATTGGTTATGGTAGTGTTTCATTATTAGTCAACTTCCTAATCCTATTTGTGGTAGATGTTGTATGTTAGTTAGTTTCTATTCTCTATTCCTAGTTGTGTTAGGAGTCTCTCCTATATATACACTATCATGTACTCCATAATTCAAGGAGCAATATTATTATTCCAATATTTCGACATGGTATCAGAGCCACCGCTCTTGATGACCTAAAAGAGTTCTTTGCTTCCGTCGTCGTCGCCGGTAATTCCGGCGACGACGACTCCACCTATTCACCTCTATTTTCTTTTCCTTCTTTATCCTCAAATCAACTTCTCCATTCAAAAAAAGAAAAAAATTCCCGTGTTGAAATCACAAAAAAAAAACCGTCAAAGGAGGAGCTTCCCTCTTGTCATCTCCATGGTTCTTAAAAAAAAAATCCCAAACTCCTCACAAACTCTCTCGATCAACTCATCTTTTCTTCTCCAAAAAAAAGAAAAAATGATTGTTGTTTCTCTCCAATTCACCATATCAAAATCTCAGACCTAATTTTTTTTCCATCACCAATTCTTAACCTACTTTCTCTCTCTAAAATCACTCATTCCGATCATCAACCTCTCTTCTCTTTCTCTTCTGTTGAACCATTAAAAATCCAAAGTAAATCAATAAAAAAAGCAAAGCCGAGAGGGAAAGTAGTGAAAGAGGAAATAAAACCTCTACAACTCACCCCTTTAAGAAGGAAATAGGGCATTGCCCGGATCCAAGAAAAAGACAAAAAACGTCAAGGATCTTCAGTCAAACAGGCACCTCCAGTAGCCTTCTCTATTCTGCTTCGACGTCAGCAGCTACAAGAGCACGTCAACCTTCTCTCATCTTCATTGACGTTAGCAGCTACTAGCGCACGTCAATTTCTCTCTTCTCCAACGACGTTAGCACCTACGAGTGCACGTCAGACTTCTCTCTTCTCCAACGACGTCAGCAGCCACCGGCGCATGTCAGCCTTCTCTCTTCTCAAAGTTTCCAGTTTTCAGCTAGTGTCCAAGCTTCCTCTTGCTTCGGCGAATGTTAGACAATAATATTAATAGTACTTCTTGTAGTATTGGTTATGGTAGTGTTTCATTATTAGTCAGCTTCCTAATCCTATTTGTGGTAGATGTTGTATGTTAGTTAGTTTCTATTCTCTATTCCTAGTTGTGTTAGGAGTCTCTCCTATATATACACTATCATGTACTCCATAATTCAAGGAGCAATATTATTATTCTAATATTTCGACACATTTGTTTTTAAAGAAAATTTTAAATATTATTGCCTCAAAAATAAAAATATTCGTTATAATTAATTTTTTAAATAAGAGTGTTGAGGAACATTTCGTAAGTATTTTACCATTTTCCAATTTTAAAAAAATTTGTTAGTAATTTAATTTTCTTGATGAATTGGTGATGTAGATTTTTTTGTCAAGGGTCAAAATATTTATGACCTTTGAGAATAAGGTACTAATGCTTGGATAAGTGAAAATGTTCCATGTACTATTTGAAGTAACATGACCTAATATTATTTTTCATCAATGGCCATAATAATTTTTTTATGGAAACAAAAGTTTTATAACCCTTTTTAGGAATGCACTTTTTAAATGAATCGAATACAATGTTGAGTTAATTAAAAAGAGAGCCACGATTGGTGATTTACAACTTTGGTTTTTCATCAAAATATTTATGACCTTTGAGAATTAAAGTACTAACCCTTCAATAAAAATTTCTTAAATACGTTATAAAAATGTTTCATATACTCTTTAAAGTAATATGTCCTGATATTACTTTTTCTAAATGCCCATAATAAGAGAAGTTTGATGGAAATAAGATTTTTGTTAATTAATGGACCATACTCTAGTTTTGAATGCCATTTCAAAAAAAAAACATGAGAGAGAAAAAAATGCAAAAGCTTAATGCAATGGATAATTTGTTGGGAAGGGTGAAAATGTAAAATGTTGATTTATAAAATATCTTGGAAAAAGAATGGACCCTACTCTAGTTGCGTACACACACTCATTTCAATGGTCATTATGTATTCGCAATATCCCAAAAAGTTAGCTATTTATTACTCTAGACGCCTACACACACCTCCAATACACTGACAATTATTTATTCACACTATCCCATAAAGCTACCTATTTAATGCAGCTGACTTAACACACACCCCAAGGCAAAAGTAATGAATAATTCACAGCCTCCCATAGACTTGCTCATTTTTAAACTAAAGTTGCCCATACTCAACCAAACATGGTTTCTGACACATTTCTCTACTCAAAACTTTAAGCGGGAAAATCACCCTCTTTAGATTTGTATATTAAAAGATTTAGGAAAAATGACATATATTTTAGTCTTAGTTTAGGGGATTTCTTTCCAAATTTTTTTTAATCCAATTCGGGTCGGAGGAGTATTTAATTGATTGAAATGATAAAAAATAAAAATATATAAATACGATATAATATAGAAAGTAGAATATTAAATTATAATTATCAAATATTGCTATAAAATAAATGATGCTCATTTTTTTAATTAAAGTAATTATATTTCGAAAACATGGTTCTATTTTGTAGCATGCGTGATTTACATACTCCCTCCGTCCATTTTTAATGTTCGTACTTTCTTTTTTCGTCCGTCCACAAATAAAGTTCATGTTTCTAAATTAGGCAAGGAATTATAAGTGAAATGCCTTTAATACCCCTCACCCACCACCCACTTTAATTTACTCCAACTTTTGTACTTGTACTTGTACTTTTGTACTTTACTTGTACTTTAACAATATTTTAATCATTTTCATTACTTTATCTATCCAATCACTACTATTTAACTTTATTCACCTTTACCTTTAATTTTAATTAACCAAAGGGCAAAGTTGGAAAGTCAAGGGTTTTTTTACATTTTCTTAAACTCCGTGCCAAGTCAAACTCTGAACATTATTTATGGACGAAGGGAGTACATTTTTACATAATATGCTGATACACAAGGTATCGGATACGGAAGACTTCGAGCGTCTTCAAGCTCGAGAAAAGTAGGGTAAGGGAAGAGAGAAAGCTTCGCAAGAGGGGGAAACCCACAGTGCGCCGAAGGTAGAGAGAGAGTTAGGGTTTTGGGTTTGTATTATTGATGATTAATTATGAAGGAATACATCCCCTTTTATAGGTGAAAGTAAAACCCTAATCCTATTTAAACTAGGTTATCTATCCTAACGGTTCAAAAAGAGCGACGAGGTAAAGAACCGTAAAGAAACCCTCGAAGAAGCTTATAATTTCGCTCTCATAAGAAAATCTAAATTACATAATTAAAAGGAGTAAATTAAAATAATAATATTTAGAGAGAATAATCTCGTTGCCACCCTAGTGGCTTTCGCGAGCGTTGACTGCGCTGCACCTGCTCCAACGCTACGCCTCCCAAAAGCCTATCGTCTTGTGGTGAAGTTGGGCTCATAACATTCCCCACCTCTTCAAGCACCACATTGTCCTCAAGGTGTAAGTGGGGAAAGTTCTGGTGCAAGTGTTCCACCGGCTCCCAAGTGGCGTCGTCAAGAGTGCCATCAGACCATTCAACCAACCCTTGAACCAACGGGGTGCCGCCTTGTAGGATTGTGCAGACGGCATGGACATGGACGGGGCTGGACAAAGGTAGCCCCTTCACAAATTCGGCAGGCAGCGACAATGGCGTGCTTCCGGATGACCCCGCGACATACGGCCGAAGTAGAGATACATGAAATACCAGGTGTATTCGAGAGGCTAGGGGCAATTCCAGTTTGTATGCAACCGGCCCAATTTTTTTCAAAATAGGAAACGGTCCATAAAATTGCCGGGATAGCTTCTGTGAGACCCGTCGAGCTACTGAATGCTAGCGGTAGGGCTGAAGTTTCAAAAGCACGAGATCCCCGACTGTGAATTGGAGCTCACGCCGACCGCGATTAGCTATCAAAACAATCCGACGTTGGGCAGCAAGAAGGTTGTCCTAGAGCGTGCGCAGGAGTTCATCGCGCTCCCATAATAGTTCGTCGACCGCAGGAACACTACTCTCGCCCGCATGGTACGGCAAAATCGAGGGGGGCGGCCGTCCATACAGTGCCTGGAAAGGAGTCATCTGCAACCCTGTGTGATAGCTAGTATTTAAAGAATACTCAGCCCAAGGAAGGAGTACCGTCCACCGGGAAGGTTTGTCCTGAGTAAATGCCCGTAAATATTGTTCCACCCCGCGATTCATGACCTCCGTTTGCCCGTCGGTTTGCGGGTGAAAGCTGTGCTTGTTTGCAGTGTCGTTTCACTCAGTTTCATTGCCTCACCCCAAAAATTTCTCATAAAAATTTTGTCACAATCCGATACAATTGATTTGGAGAAGCCTTGCAACTTGACTACGATGTCAATAAACAAGAACGCCGTCCTGTGGGCGTCAAAATTAGTAGGTAAGGCTCCCAAATGTATTACCTTTGTGAGACGATCAATCACCACAAGGATAACCGTGAAGCCGTGCGACAGCGGTAACCAAACAATGAAGTCCATTGAAATGTCATCCCAGACCTAGGTCGGCACAGGTAGAGGTTGCAGCAAGCTGGCCGGTGGTTGAGTGGAGTATTTCGTGGTTTGGCAGACATGACACGCCGCCACATACTTAGCCACGTCGTTCCACATACGCGGCCAAAAGAAGGACTGTGCTACCCTTTGGAAAGTCCGATGAACGCCTGGGTGCCCTGCCAATGGCGTGTCATGGTGCTCTTTGATCAAGAATGAACGTAGTGGCGAGTCTGCCCCGATGCAAAGGCGGTGCTTATAATATAGTATGCCATCTGCCACGACGTACGGAGCGGGAAGGGTGCCTTTGGCGTGTGCCGCATGTTTCTCCTTCAAATCGGGTTGAGTTTGATTTTTTGCCTTGATGTCTGCCATTAGGGCTGGTACTGGCCGAGAGGAGGACAACAGCATCTGGGACTCAACGACCTCATCTTCCACCCGTGACAGTGCGTCGGCTACCCGATTTGAGGCTCCCGGTTATATTCAATTTTAAACCAGAAACCCAATAACTTGCGAACGTAAAACTGTTGATCTGGCATTTAGATGACCTGAGACAAGAGCTCCTTAAAGCTTTTCTGATCAGTGCGGACGAGGAACTCACGACCAAGCAAATATTAGCGCCATTTTTGTATGGCCTCGACCACGGCATACAGTTCTTTATGGTATGTGGAAGCCATCAAACGGCGCGGACCCAACTTCTTGCTAAAGAATGCGATCGGCTTTTCTTGCTGGAGTAAAACCGCCCCGATGCCGGAGCCAGAGGCATCTGTTTTGACCACGAACAATAACGTGAAATCTGGTAACCTTAAAATAGGGGTCGTAGTCATTGCCGACTTGAGGTTTGAGAATGCCTCCTTAGCCACGGGAGACCACCAAAATGCATCTTTTTTAGAAAATCTGTCAGAGGGGAGGCCAGTTGAGCATAATTTTTAATGAAACGACGGTAATAGCTAGTGAGCCCTAAGAACCCACGTAGCTGCCGTAGGTTGGTCGGCTTGGCCCACGGCGTCATTGCTGTGATCTTGGAGGAGTCAGCCTTCAGTTGGCCGTCTGTAATAGTATGGCCGAGATAATCAATAGATGAGCGGGCAAAAGAACATTTGGAGAGCTTGACAAAAAAACATTATCGCAAAGGAGTTGAAGGACGGTATGGAGATGCACTGCATGAGTGTCCAGTGACGGGTTGTAGACCAAAATATCGTCAAAGAAGACAATGACGAATTTCCGTAAATGTGGTGCAAAGAGCTGGTTCATACATGCTTGGAATGTGGACGGGGCATTGGTTAGGCCAAAAGGCATGACCAAAAATTCGTAGTGACCGTCGTGGGTTCGAAAAGCCATTTTGTGGACGTTAGCACACATGCGAATCTGATGGTATCCCGATCGGAGGTCCAATTTGGTGAATATGCGGGCATTACCCAATTCGTTGAACAACTCATCGGTCGTGGGTATCGAGAATTGATCGGGAATGGTAACCACGTTCAAGGCCCTATAATCAACACACAAACGGTAGGACATGTCTTTCTTTTTAACGAGCAAAACTGGTGAGGAGAATGGACTCTGACTCGGTTGGATCAAGCCTTGCTCCAACATTTCCTTTACTAAACGTTCAATATCCGTCTTTTGAAAGTGGGGGTACCTGTACGGGCGGACATTTACGGGTGGCGAACCTGCATGCAAGCAAATCCGGTGGTCCACTGGCCGGTTTGGGGGCAGACTTGAGGGGAGGGCAAATACGGAGGAAATTCAACGCCGTCAGACCCCTTCGGCATGTCTTCCAGGAGGAGCACCTCAAAACAGTCCGTGAGCTCCTGTCTGGTGTGAGGAGAGTAGAGGCAATTCACGGATATGGCCTTGGGCAGTTGGGTTTCTCCTTGGAGAACGATAGTTGTGCTGTTCCATACAAACTTCATCGTGAGTTGCGCATAATCGTGCGAAACCCTTCCAAGTTGCTATAACCATTGCACACCAAGGACGATGTCTTGGTCGTGAATATCCAAGACGAATAAGGCCAGCGTGGTGGTGAATCCTTGCATGGTCAATTTTACATCCATGCATTGCTTTGAACAGAGCAGATAGGCGCCATTGCCGACGTAGACTTTAAAGGGTACAATATCCAAGACCGGAAGCCGAAGTCGTTCGACGAGCGTGGGGTGGATGAAATTATGAGTGCTCCCGCCGTCGATTAAAACAACCAAACTTTGATCGGAGACTGTAGCGAAGAGTCGCAGGGAGCGGGGGGTCGTAACCCCGGCCATGCTGTTCAAACTAGATATGCGGGCTGTGACAGCGACCTCATCTTGGGCAACCCCATCGGTAGTGTCTTCAGTGTCATCATCATCAAGGATCATAAGGAGGTACGGACTACAACGGTGGTTACGCGACCACTTCTGGTCGCAGTTATAACACAGCTCCTTGGCGTCCTTTGCGGCGCGCTCGGCACGAGTGAGAGTGCGGAATGGGGATGTCGGCGTGGGCTCCAATTCAGCTCTCTTCAGAGTGGGCAGTAGGGGGCCGTAGGGTAGGAGCGAGGGGACGTGAAGAAGCTACCCAGGGAGAGGGTTGGTGAGACACCGAGTTTACCAAGGACAAGTGCTTAGCTTCCAATTCCCTTGCCAATGCAAAAGAGTCGGCCAGAGATGCCGGTTTGAGAAGACTAATCTCATGTTGTAGGTGGGTTTTCAAACCAGAATGGAACAAGGATTGTAGGTGGGCTTCACTGGCGTCTGTAACATTCGGCAGGATTTTTCAAAAGCCGTCTCGTAGTCCATGACGCTCCTGGTTTGAGGCATACGAGCCAATTGCCCAAAGTAATCCACGTAGTGTAACATGTCAAACCGAAGCTTAAATTTGGTGATAAAGTCAGCCCAACCATCCAAAAGATTATTATTCTTTCGCCAACGAAACCAGTCGGCCGCCGGGCCGTCCAACATCATTCTGACACGCCGCAAGCGGTCGTCCGGTGGGGTATCGTAATACTCAAAATATTCTTTGACTTTGTATAGCCAGCGTAAAGGATCGGAGCCATCGCAACGAGGAGCCTCCAATCTCGGCCGAGGAGTATACCCCCCACTGTGAGGGTTGGCATCGTCGTCTCGAGGTTTTTTGCCTCGGGCGCTGCTAGAGGTGACATGCAAAGCCTCCTGAAGGTCGGAGAGTACCGAGTCGAGGCAGGAAAAGCGTGCCTCCATGTCTCGCTGCATTTGGACCATAGATTGGCTGAGCTCGGTAACACAATTAGTATCGGACGAGGGAGTTGACATAATGAGAGCACCAATGATACACGAGGTATCGGATACGGAAGACTTCGAGCGTCTTCAAGCTCCAGAAAAGTAGGGTAAGGGAAGAGAGAAAGCTTCGCATGAGGGGGAAACCCACCGTGCGTCGAAGGTAGAGAGAGAGAGTTAGGGTTTTTGGGTTTTGTATTATTGATGATTAATTATGAAGGAATACATCCCCTTTTATAGGTGAAAGTAAAACCCTAATCCTAATTAAACTAGGTTATCTATCCTGACTGTTAACAAAAAAGCGACGAGATAAAGAACTGTAAAGAAATCCTCAAAAGAGCTTATAATTTCGCTCTCCTAAGAAAATCTAAATTACATAATTAAAAGGAGTAAATTAAAATAATAATATTTAGAGAGAATAATCTCGTTGCCACCCTGGTGGCTTCCGTGCGCGTTGACTCCGCCGCACCGGCTCCAACGCTGCGCCTCCCAAAAGCCTGTCGTCTTGTGGTGAAGTTGGGCTCATAACATATGCTAACAGTGCATCACACCGGTATAAATTTAGTTAAAGCAAGATCAACAATACTCTAATAAGGTTCGATGTTTGAAGTGACGGATCTAGGAAAAATATGACTGGGAGCAAGCTCATACTAAAGAGTAGGGCAGGAGTTTGAGGAGAGTAGGCCCGATTTTTTATAGTGATTTACCACGAAAATAAATAAATTTTATTTCAAACAAGCATTTAAATAAGTAAAAGAATCAACTTAAAGTAGAAAAAACAATATGAAATATATCATAACTTTATATAATTATGATATATCAAATATTTTACCTCTATATCTTATTTAAGTAATTATTTTTACTTTTAAACTTAGATTTTTTTTGTCGTTGGGGCATATAATCTTTTTACCGGAGGCGTTCTTTTAATTTTCCACAAAAAAAAAATTAACAGGAGACTGCCCCCATATTAGAATAGGTAGATATTTATCTCAACACATATATAATAGAATTGCAACATTAACAAGCTCTAAGCATCTCAACATAATCCAACATCTTGCATTTAATAAGGTTCATATAAGCAAATTAAATTTTGTTTCGAACATTAGCAATGGCAAGATAAAAATGAAATGCCACATGGTGACATGGATTATTTCAACCAATAAAAAATAATCCAATTACCGTGTGGCAAATGAGCAGAGTGTCGTAACATACAGTGGCAAGTCATTGTTTTTGTCTATTTTTGTACTTTTTAATGATTTTTTAATTATCAGAAATTATTTTACACATCTATTTTATTATTAAAATATGTACACTTCTTTTAAAAAATATTTTTTTTCAAAAATTAAAAATATTAAAAATATATATAAAAAAAAAGAGAGGGTCATGCCTTGCACATGGAATGAAAAAAGGGGTGGAATGGCCATGTGATGCCATAATTTGAATCATATTTGCTGACATGGCTAGGCAAGGCAAGACATTACCTTACCATTGTGAATGCTCACTTTGTTTGCATATTCCCTCAATGTGTCAATGTAAAATTTACAATTTTTGTAGTGATCATCATTGTGTATATCCAGACACAAACACTGCAATGAATAGAGGTAAATGCATTCCTGAAGCCACGGACACTGCAATAGAAAAGAAAAGAAAAAATGGTTCTCTCATTTTTTTCAGTAAAATAAGAGAAATTTTATTTTTCTTCCACTTGGACTAAGCTATATGAAACTTGAGTGGAACCACATTAAAAGATTGAATCCAATCGATTACTTAGTTCAACTCAAACACTTATATACCTATTATTTTTTTCACACTTTTCTAATGTGAGATACTCTTTAACACCGCATACGCACATAAGATTTTCATATGAAGAACCAAAAAAGAAGTTTGAATCCAAGCATCATACTTTTCAAACTTATAAAAAAAATCTTCTCATTACGGAATATATACTACTTGAAACAAGCATGTAACAAAAAACATTCTTGCTTAGTTGGTGGATATCTTGACATGATATGTAAGAGGTCTACTAGAAGTGATTCATACCGGTTCATGTGACATTGCCTTGTAATGTCATGGAATGACTCGGAGACGCTACGATGCTCTGTTCGTAAAATTGACAATTCATATCCCCTAACCATCCCTGTTAACCCCCGCCCCGACGCGAACATACACCCACACTCCTTTCAATTGCACCCCAAGTCCCCAAGATAATTTTAATTTTGGAGTCAATTAACTCCAAAGTTAAAATTACCTTGGGGCTACAATTGAAGGGGGTGGGATGTGTGTTCAGATTAAGGCGAGTGGGGGGTTTACCAGGATGGTTAGGGCGGTAGGAACTGTTAATTTTATGAATGAAACATCGTTACGCCTTTGAGTCATCCCATGACATTACATGACAATGTCACATGAATCGGTATAAATCACTTCGAGCACCGTAACGCACCCAGATCATCCCATGACATTACATGACAATGTCACATGAATCGGTATAAATCACTTCGAGCACCGTAATGAGCACCGTAATGCACCCAGATCATCCCATGACATGGGATCCCAATATCATTGGAACCCCCCGTTAAAACACATGGGGCACAAAAAAAGTAATCTTTGTAGTACGTTTTTTAAGCATTAGAGACAGATAGTTTATAGGGAATGGAAGTAGTTTGTTTCCGCAGAGAAAACCCAAGAATATCCGATCGCAAAGAAACATAATTTCTCTTATTTTTCAAAGTGCAAATCAATCACCCCGAAGGGGCAAAAGAAAACATAGTTAATGAAAGCCAAAGAAGCCCAAAACACCCTTAATATTTTATTTTAATTTTGAGGAAAACACACTTAATAATTAATACTGCTGGAGTGGGGCGGAGGGGGAACCAACGCCACCAGCTTAAAGTACTTGGATAATTCCGGTTCACAAGTGAATCGTTTAGCACCAACTCTACCCAAGAACCATCTTGAAATCATAGGTAAATTTGGAAAACACGGGCCATTAGAGAGCTCGAAGCGAAAACTGACAAAAGGGGAACTCATAAATGCAGAACCCAGAACGTCTTTCTTGTTCTGTTTGTCTACTGTTTACTGTCACGATGGAGAAGATTAGACACCAAACCCCTTTTCCACCATGGTGTAACTGATACTTCTATATTTTTGGATATAATAGAAGGTGGACCACTGTGGATGATGTTGCCGGGTGACATCTCTTGATTAGTACTTGTCTCTAAAGACCTGAGACAAATGCAACCCAAATGTAAAAAGCATGTCATTGTTGAGTTCTTGTTCTACCAAAAAAAAACGCAACTACAAATAAAAAAAATCGTATGTCCTTGAAGCAATAACATTCTAGGCTTCTAGCAATCCTTTACTTAAATGGGAATTGTACACGCAAGTTTCAAAAGGAATGCATAATTACAGCCCTTTTGATGGAAAGTTCGTTTGAAAGGGGCCAAGTTTTATTCCAAAATAAAGATCAAAAGAGAGACCAAAAAATTCTGAGCTTAATAATAGAGAAAATTTATGAGGATGCTTATAATATTTTCAACTAGTGTCAGCAGCAGCTGAATGTGTAAACCTATCGCCCACTCGTAAAATAGGGTAAGCTAGATAACATTTTAGGAATGCGTAAGAAGGTTGGCCATTAGATAGTGTTAAAATCAATTGACATGTTTTCATGCCGAGTTTTAACTTGTAAACCACTATGACAAGTCCACAACACATAAAGTTCAAACAAGGTACTTAAAAAGTGCAAATTGGTGAGTGGTGCTAGATGGGGAGCGGAAGGGGTCAAACAGAGCATATGCAGGATCACTTTGAACAAAAAAAAAGTAGACCGGGTGGGAGAGAGGGGGAGGGGATATTGCATTGACAAAGTCATTTAGAGTAGAGGGTTCAAATAATTCCAGAACGTAAAGCTTGAACAATAAATTTCACCTTCCTATTACTTTAAACACATTAGGTCATTCAACCGAATAGTCATGCTTGCTTGAAAGGAACACTAATAGTACTCCATATTGAAGGACAAAACTAAGTGATTTACTGTTATAATATCTAAACGAACATAGGTCCATAGCTAATGCTTGTGTCTATAAGCAATAAAATATGAAAGGAGATATCAATGAATCCATCAAGGGTATAATGGAAACAACTGCTATTCTTTTACGGGGTAAGGTTGTGTAAATTTTTAGATGAGCGAGCCGACCCCAACAGAACTTGGATTACATATGGTTTCGTTGTTGACTTGTTGGTGTCTCACTGAATGCAGACACGGTGTTAAGGGTTACCTAATCTACAATGTCAACCAACAAATGTTATATTTCTTATGTGATGGCAAACAAATTCAGCATGAAAGAACGGAGAACTTTTGCTAGAATGCTTACGTGCTGCCAGGTACTGATCCTTCATATGCCAATGTCGACAAGCCCTGTCGTTGCTTGTGTTTAGGATTAGCTGAGCATATCACATATACACGCCCGCGTCGTTTGATTGTACGGCAGAACTCACAAAGTTTCTTCACTGATGATCGTACCTTCATGGTTCTTGGCTAATACAGGTCAAACTAATTAATTAAAGATATTGGCCAAGATTCACACCTGATATATATGCAACTAAAACATAGTTGGATACTTGGATAATAACAAAGACACGATGACAAAGGGAAAATCAGTCAAAACCAGAGAAAATGAGAGCCTGAGCATATGTATGTGTAACATGTGCCAACATGTGCCAAAGAAGATATGGCTTAAGAGCAAATGCTTTATTGACCTTTTTTTGTTCTAGATTTGCCCTTATTTTCTGACATCAATGTTATTTCAGATACTACTAAAGTATTTTACAACAATAACAACAACCCAGTATGATCTCAACTATCTCAAGATGTATGCAATCTTAAACCCCTACGATAAACAGACTGTTTTTGTTAGACCCTTAATTTGCTGCTGCATTTATTATGCAAAACTTTATAGAAACTAAGGATCAAAAGAAGCTTAATGTGTCATTTTCATTTACTCTATTATCTACCTGAAGGTAAAACATTGTCCATTTGTCACTGATGAATTTTATAGCTCTAGTGACAATGGAGGCAATCATCAAAATATTTGATACATGAAATTCCTAATGATAGGTTGATAATCAAGTAATACACATTACATACTATCATAAGTAGCAAACAATGCACTAAGTGTGATCTATTAAGCTCTAATTATATATCTATCCTATTAATTATTGAAGGTAATTTCCACCATATCATTTGGGGCTATGTTCACAAAATCCTACTAATTTCCATTAATATCCAAACCATATGATATATTATTACTTTTAGGCTGTGCAAGAAGCTCTCAATGAGCAATTTAAGGATGCAGATATGCAGATCCAAGATGTTGGGGTCCCTATTTGCGAGGTCCACAGATCTCTAAGTAATTAAAGAAATTTAATAATTGCTTGTTTTTTCCTTAGGTATTGAATCAAGGAATTCATAGACCGAAAAATATGGTAGTATTGATAGCAAAAAAATAGAAAGAATGAGAGATAAATGTAAATGCAGAAAAGATACGATAACAAATTTGTGATTGGACTCCTGATGCAGAATGCGGAAAGCCACAACAGGCCATTAGGGAACTCAAAAGATTAAATAAATAATGTTAATGTGGTTCAATATCACAGTTATTTTCTTATATTCTTGGTAACTCATTTTGATTATACTCATTCGAGCAGGGCCAGTTTGAACCACATAAGGGCCCTGTACAAAATATATTTGTTACACTATTCTACATTTCTACCTTTAAGTTGCAAAATTTAAATTAGTTTCATTTTAGTTATAATATTTGTTTCAGTGAAAATGTGTAGTAAAAAAATCCTGAATAACAGTTTACATAAAAAGAGACATCCCCACTGCATATTAAGATGCAAACTCATCAATCAAATCATTAATTTCTATTTCTTCTAAATTCTCACATTCAAATATTCAATTAATATCAAAGCCAATCTGTTGAGTCTCTTTTACGACATAGTTGAACGTAAGTAATTCTTCAACAATTTAAACTTTGAGAAACTCTCGAAATGGCTTTAGTTCAATTGAGAAATCATTTCCATCCACAACATTTCCATCTCAAAATGATCACCTATGTCATGTGATTCTTCTAAAATAAATTTCACAAGTGTTCCCTTCTAAGATTGTGTAGGTTCTCTAGGTCTCATTTTCTTTTTACATTTTTAATGGTTCAATCTCCATTTTCTAGGGACCATAGATACAAAAAAAATAATTATGAGAAATAAAAATTAAATTATAAATAAAATAAGGAGAAAATAAATTAATAAACGGGTAGGGATGAGGGTCCTTCAAATTAGTTTAATTTCAGTACAAAAAAGTTTAGTATTTTTAATTAAATTGGAAAAAAACTGCACTTATTTAAAATAAAAAAAACAATTTTATTATTTGTGATTAATACATTTCTTTTTATTTGATAAAAAAGTAAAAACACAAGCTAAATAAAGAAATAAAACATGAATATTTTAAAAACAATTGCTTAATGTAAAATTAGCTAATACGGAGCAAGGAATAGAGCCTTCTGCATTCATCAATCAGAGTTTGGGATAATCAATTAATCGTTCAATCGTTCATCAGTTCAACCATTAACCAGATGAAAAATGAAAGAAGAAATCGGACTAGCAAAAAAAGAAAACGAAGCATTCAACTTCAATTATTCTAAAATAAACCGAAGATTTGAAGGAAATCACACCTTAGAGTTACGGAATCCGAAATGGATATTTTCTTTGCCGAAAAACCCTAACACCGTCGCCTTGCTGCCTCCGTCTTTTAGACTTTCCAAACGCGATTCTTACTGCCAGGTAGGCCGCCCCGGGTTAAAGTCCTAATAAACCCGTATTTTTCTAGCTGACTTATTAAAAACGGTTTATTCCTATTTGAAATTGTAGCTGTTATTGAGTCTCTTGGGGAATACCGTTAGCAATTAGCGTTACCATTTTGAAAAGATTATCTACGAGGAGTGTTTAGAGTTAGCGCTTTTAAAGTAATCTGCACCGTTAAAATTTTATCCAAAACGCTAACGTTAATTTCTAACGATATTCCCAAACAGGCTCATTATATGGTTCCGATAAAAATTGGAATAAATACTTATGTATCAATGTTATATTGGCCCCTATCTTTTACTCCTCCGTCCCAAATTATTTGCAACGTTTGCTTTTTCGGCAATCGCGAGAACTTTTGTTTATTTCTACGTTTTCATTAGTTATTTGATAAAATAAAATATTCTTGACATCTCTTATTTCAAAGAACTTTTCATGTAGTTTTTTGATATGTAAATTTTATTTTTTATTCTTATACCAATATGTAAATAAAATTTATTGAAAAAACGTTATATTTTGCCTCAGAAATACAAGTGTGACAAATATTTAGGAACGGAGGAAGTATTATTAAGACATGCATGCTACATCGGGAGTATGTATTAAGAGCATTTGCAGCAGCGTGGAAGTTTGATGACACGCATGCCACATCGCTTCCCAAGACCTCTTTTGCCTTACAACGTAATGCATAGAGTGGTATCCCATTGCACATTTGCACCACCCATGCGCGATGCACTATTGTGGTTTATGGCCAAATAGTTCCGGTACCCCCTAGCTTGTGGTTTGGAAAATTAGCAGCAATATTCTTTCTGTTTTTAAAACTTATTTATAAAGTCTTTGTGATTTCAAAACGTTGCACCCACACCCTCTCTAATCATTTTCCGGCCATTTTCCGGCGAAGAGGGGGCATTGGCGCATAATTTCTATACAATAGGAGGCATTTGTGCTCATTTCTTATTTTCCTTTATTATTCTTCCCCTTTTTTAAATATTTTCTATCTCTTTTTCCTTTTCCTAGATTTTTTAAATATATATTCAATTTTTTATAATGTTTCAAAAATTTTCAAATTCTTTGTGTTTGATATGAAAATAAAAATAAAAAAAATTAACATACATTATATCTATCTCAAAATAAACATTTTCACTTTTTGTTACTTAGAATAATTTTTTGGAAAGTTCAAAAAAAACAAAGAATAAAAAAATAAAAGTATAGAAAAACAAAATGAAAAAAAATTAAAATACGCAAAAAAAAGTCTTATACAAAAAAATTGGACACGCCTAAAAAAGTTCTTAGAATTAAGATGTTCAAAAAGGTTATTCATTTTTATTTTTGTATTAATTTGTTTCTTATTTTATTCCTCATTTTTTGAAGTTCTCAAAAAAAAATTACTTTTTTTAAAAAAAAATGTTAATTTAAGAAGTACATATGCATTATATGTTAACTTTTTCAAACAAAAAAAACTTTAAATTTTAAGAACATTATAAAAATAATTTAAAAAAAAAACCTTTATTAATAAATGAAACAAAAAAGGAAAAAATGGAAAAAACAAAAAATATGTGAGAAATAAAAATCAGCACTGAATACCCCCTATGGTTTAAAAAATATGCACCAATGCACCCTTCTTCGCCGGAAAATGATTAGAGGGGGCACAGGTGCAGCATTTTGAAACCACAAGGACTTTAGAAATGAGTTTTGAAAACAGATGGGGTATTGATGCTTGTTTTGCAAACCACGAGGGATATAAGCGCTATTTGGCCTGTGGTTTATCTATTCTTTTCTTTTTTTTCTTTTTACATATGCATTTTTTTTCTTTTGTTGATAATTAAACTAATATTTAATACTATAAATACACCAAAAAATATAAAAAGTTACTAAAGCAACTACTTGCCACGGCATGTTACGTCACTTCACTCACTTGTCACTCTCTATTTGGAATGTTTTTAATTGGTTGAATAATGTCTTGTCAGCATGTGACATTTTATTTTTTACTAAAATTTTAGATGAATCTTAAACACATTTTAAAATTCAACATGCTAGGGGTACATCAAGAAATGTACCCAAGTTATACTCCAAAGAGATGCACCGACATTTTAACAGTTACACTCGCACAAAGTACTAGTTCAATAAAAAAATTGCACTGATATTTGTGTAATTGTAAACCATTACACTAGCATTATACTAGCACAAAATATTGGTGCATGTCTTTGAAGTACAAAGTGGGATATATTTTTTGAGGTACAAATAGCTTAATTCTTTAAAATTTAAACACTTAATAAGAGCTAGACAAAAGTTAACCCAATTTTTAAAACAAACAACAATCCAGTTGAATCCCACAAAAATTTAGAGAGACCCCCATTTAAGTAAAACATATAATACTAAGGAGCATGCTACATGTACCCCAAGATTTGTACCTCATTTGTACACCAAAGGTATGCACCAACATTTTGATGATTCACACTGACACAAAGTGTTGGTGCGTTAACAAAAATTAGCATTACACCAACACAAAGTGTTGGTGCATCCCTGCGGTTTACTTACAAATTCTTGGGGGTACAAATAGCATTATCCTAGTACTACTAGCACAAGCTCGTAGAAGACAACTAAAACATCAAAAGCAGAAAGCACCCAAAAAAAACACGTAATATTTAGAAAGAAAGATACAGCAAGCAAAACCCAGTCCAAAATGCTCTCAAGAGATACATCCCGAAAAGTATAATCTGCAGTTAGAATTATTCACTCAAATGCTCTGAAGTGTAACTTTAAGAGATGCTTATTTCATACTCGGAGCAAACCATCCACTCAAACTATATACTCCGTACACAGAAACACACAAGAAGTATAAAAACCTCCAGCTAACACATAGCATAATTAGACCATAACAGATACCCTTTTAATTTCCACCTCAGGCAGGAAATCTGAGAACAATTCTTGGGTGTTTAAACGGTGAGAATTGGGGGGAGATAGCTGGATTTGGTTCCGAGCACTCGCGCCTTAGTATCCGGGAAACATTCAAAGCCAGGCAGCTCGGTGACCTCTCCATTTTCAGTAACGCCAATGGGGTAACTAAGGAGATGGCCCGGCAGGTCGTGTTCCAACGCCTCCTCACCCGAGTACAGGTTCCAGTTCTTTTGGGCCATTTGGTTCACCATCCCAATGCATTCAATGCTCTCCGGATGCTCAAACCCGTCGTTCAGCACTCCCAGATGCTCGTACCACAATGCCATCCGGAACCCGTGGACCTGCCCGCGGGCTGGCTGCGTCACTGACAGGTGGTGTGGCTGGTACGCTCCCATTGCTATTTCTGAGTCCCGCGCTCCGTCCATTGATCGCTGGTTTATGTTTGCTGATCCAACGATTATGTACTCATCATCCACTGCCACATTACAAGCAAAGATTGTGTTAGAATATACAAACTTGAGATTTGGTTTCTTGACGTGGTATTAGAGCGTTGCTGACCAGGTGAGAAAAGACAAGTATTACCTATCATCATCTTAGCGTGAACATATATCATGAATCTCCGGGCTTCCTGAGCTCTGCTGTAGTCTGTGTCGTTGTCAGGTTTCTCAGAAGGCACGTATTCGTCGCCTTTCTTGGTTTCCCTATTGCCAAGGCAGAAGAAACTCAAGTAGTCCTTTGGGTCCGCGACAATCCCTTTCGCTTTGAGTGCTTGAACTATGTCCGTGTACATCATCTGCATGGTCCTCCTCTGCCAGTCAAGAATTGCCTGCACCGAGGCGCTCTCTGGGTACCCCTCTGGCCACATGGGGACCACGATGTAGACCGTGAACCTCTCCCCGGCTTCAATCTTGCTCGCGATCTTCAGCGACAGCTCTTTCGGCACGAGGTGCAACGCGTTGATGGATTCATCCTTGATGTCGTCTGAGAACCAAGAGAACGAGCTCCCCAAGAAGTACTGGTTCTCTATGTAGATGAACCGTTTCGCGCGGCGAATGGCATGGATGTACGCGTCCTGAATGCTTCTGTCAATGATGTTGTCCTTCCCACTCACAAGGCCAGATTTCGCGGCGTCCTCCGGTGCATCCGGGAAACCGAAAGCGGCACCACCGTCGATGGACCTGAAGACCTGAACGTTCCACGTTTCTTGATCGTCTGGGTAGGTTACCGGCGAAGGGGGGATGAATATGCCCTCAAGACCTCTCAAATCGACGAGCAAGCCTTCACCCCCTTGTTTCCTCCATCTTTGCTCGAAATTGAAGAGCACGTCCCAAGCCGCGGGCCCTTCCAAACGTGAATGGATATCGTGCCAGGGCTCCCTCGGCCCGCCCTTCCTAATGGAGGCGCCTTCAAAGTTGGGCTGGTGGAAATCATCACGGTGGGCTGTGTTCAGTGTCCTAAAGAGGGGGTGAAATGGGGAATCGTAGCGCCCGTCGCAGAGGTCAATCCCTCCCACGAAACTCACAATCCTCCTCCTCTCGGCGTTTCCATCCGGCATTTCTCCATCGACCACCACAATCTTTTGATGGTGTGTGAACATGGTCCCAATCTCAATGTCCTGAATGATGCTCCTTCCATCATCAGGGTTCCTGGGACACAGCACACAGTGGACTTCACTCTCCTTGAAGTAATTCCAAGTCTCTTCGTCGTGAGTCGCCATTAGCCCATCCTTCTTCAACAACCCCACAGAAGTCCTGTCATCCCAGACAAGCATCAACACCCTCACCCCTTCACTGGCTTTTCTCTTCAGCAATTCCCCGAGAGTGATGTCACCCCCGGGTTTAGGCCTCCTGGGATCCCTCACCAATGTGATCTCCGTATACACGGACCACCCGGTTATGTAAATCAAGTGCCTGGCATTGGTGATCGCGTCGAATATGTCCTCCCAACAGCGGTGTGGCTCATAGAACTTTCCCCCCGCGAGAGGAATCCTGGGCACAAACTCATCTGGAACGTGAGCATCCTGGTATAGGGTCACCATACAACCTTTTCGCTGGGTAAAGAACGTGTAGGGTACCCCCGGAAACCGTCCAGCTCTAAGACCGCGGCCCCAAAAGAGCTCTCTGCCAACATCGAAGAACTGGAGCTTCACGTGAATCTTAGAATGCCCGTTTATGGGGTTGCGATTGGTGTCCAAGAGTGGGAGCCACTCGTCGACTTCATCCCCGTCAAGGAGCCTTCCGACGGGGAAATAGGCACGGCCGATCAGCTCGGCTCCAATGGGGTTGTCCACCTTGACAGAGAAAACAACATTGGAAGCCATGTGGGCAGAGTAGATGTGGAAAGACTCGTACCATCTGGGATTTTTGTGATCGTCAAGAAGCCTGGTTCGACCAACCCTTGCTCTTTCAAGATCAATGGTGGCATATAATCTGGAACCAGCCTTGTTGAAGCCCACAACGCTTTCCAGTCCTCCCACTACCTGCAGTTCATATTAGGCAGCTTCGTCGATCAGTGGGACATTTAATTTGAAGGTTATTATCACGGATAAGTGTATATAGCAATGTTCCTCGGTTCACTTTTGATCTGAAGCAGTTTGCCTCAAGACTACAATTGAATGCAAACAATTAATCCTTCCGTCTCAAAATGTTTGCAGCATGACGCAAAACGAAACAAAATTTTAAGTTTTTTAATTCATTTTATTTAAAGATTGGTATAGAAATAAAAATAAAATTAACATATTTAAAGACTACTTCAAAAGTTCTTCAGAACCAGAGGAGACAAAATATTTTATTTTAGCAAATAATCGATGAAAACGTACACATAAACAAAACTTCCCATGAACTTTAAATAGTGATTTCTAGCATTTTTTTTGGGACAGAGGAATCACTGTACAAACCGTCCAACGAAGGAAGCAGGGCCGGCTCAAGCTAAGGGCAAGATGGCCTCTTGGACAGGGTCCAATAGTAGATGGGGCCCCATTTTTTGTAAATGTATTACATATATTTATTTATTATTTAATTATTTATATATTTTTCGTCTCAATTTAAATCATCTATTATTTTTTATAACGTTTGATTGTAATTATTTTTAATTCATTTTATTTAAAAATAAGTGTAGAATTAAAAATAAAATTTGCATATTTAAAAAGTACATCAAAAGTCCTATATCAACCAATTGGATCTCAAAAATGCTAGAAAAACTTCAGGAATCTTTGGCTAGTTATTAACGTATGTAATTATAGATTTATAAGGCTACACATTTGACTTTTTATTATTCTTATTACTATTGTACATAGTAATTTTTTTATTATTTAAAATATAATTTATAGATTTTGCTTCGTTATGACACGATGACCGATTTTCTAGGTGTTTTCCAGGGCCCATAATTTCTCGGAGACGGCCCTGGAAGGAAGAACATGTCGATCCAAATCGACATGGTATCAAACCGAAAAATAAGTTTTCAAATGGTTCTAGTAACTATAACCTGAACCAAACCATCCCGCTTTCAAAAAATGGGAACTGAAAATCCCAAGCTGGAACATTAGAATTAAAATGATAAATTAATCAATTGATTATCCCTTTATGTTTGTTATATTTTATTATTTTTAATTAATTTTTATTTCTTTGGTGCGACTTTAACTTATTTAATCTTAGCATTTTATATTACTTTAAAATCACCCAGGGTAAAGCTCTTTTTAAATCTTCAAGCACTATGGTAAGGTTTGGCATTGGTATGTCATGGTACCGTACCGTTTCTAAGTCACATGGTACGAAATGGTTTTAGTCGTAAAAACGAACTCTATCGACCTCTTTGAGTAGTAATGGTACGGTATGGGGGTTTTTACTCCAAGCTGTTACAGACAGCACCCACTTCTAGAATACTTTTTAAAAAATGTTCATTTAGAATATTATTTATTTTAGTTGTACATCGTAGACTCATTTGCGAATAAAAGAACACTCACTTTCACATATTTTGATTGTTGCTGTACATTTCATTGGTCCATTTAGTTTTTCTAAATAATCTTTTAATAGATTTTATTGTATAACATTAAATGAATATTATTTTTTTACCATTATAACGGTTCTATAAACATATATTTCACTATTGTAAAATATACTCTGCATTTTAAATATGCATATTGATTGTAATATTTAAAAAAAAGAGTATGTATAAGACTTTTTATTATAAATTTAAAAACATTTCACTTTTAAAAAAATAAAAAACATTTCACTTTCAAAAACATTAAATTGTTATTGGAATTTTTATGCTTTAGTTAATGCAATATTTTTTTGGAATTTTTTTGCTTTTATTTATTATTTACGGAGTATAAAAAACACTTTCATTTCAAAAAAAATACAGTATTATTTTTTATCCACTGACCAATAATTTTGTTTTAAAATTTTTATGACACAATTTTTATGGCATCAAAAGTTTGATGATGTTGTTTTGTCAAATGACTTTCTTTTAAACCAAGCAGACAAGTGTGTTTATAGCAAATTTGATACTTCAGGTAAAGGAGTTATAATTTGTCTATATGTTGATGACATGTTGATTTTTGGAACCGATCAAAATCAAGTCAATAAAACAAAAGAATTCTTGTCATCACATTTTTCCATGAAGGATCTAGGGGAGGCAGAAATAATCCTAGGCATTAGGATAAAACAGGTGAACAATGGGATATGCATTACACGGTCTCATTATATTGAGAAAATTTTGAAGAAATTTAATTTTGAAAATTGTTCTCCGGTTAACACCCCTATGGATCCAAGCATCAAACTTTTGGCCAATCAAGGAAAGGCCGTGTCTCAACTTGAATACTCAAGGGCTATTGGTTGCTTAATGTATGCCATGGTTAGCACAAGACCGGATATAGCATATGCCGTTGGAAAGCTTAGTAGGTTTACTAGCAATCCTGGTACACACCATTGGCAAGCTATACGCAGAGTATTCAAGTACTTAAAGAAAACTATGAATTATAGTTTGGTGTACAGTGGAGATCCACCAATTCTTGAAGGATACTCGGATGCAAGTTGGATAACTAATATGGAAGATTTCTCCTCTACAAGTGGATGGGTTTACTTACTAGGTGGAGGAGCAATCTCGTGGAGATCAAAGAAACAAACTTGCATCACTACATCGACAATGGAATCTGAATTTGTTGCTTTAGCATCGGCCGGTAAAGAGGCTGAGTGGTTAAGAAATTTGGTATATGAAATTCCATTGTGGCCTAAACCGATATCACCAATATCTATAAGATGTGACAGCGCTGCTACTTTGGCTAAGGCATATAGCCAAGTCTATAATGGTAAGTCTAGACACATGGGTGTTAGACATATCATGATCCGTGATTTGATCAAAAATGGTGTGATATCGATTGAGTTTGTTAGAACTCAACACAATTTAGCCGATAATTTAACTAAAGGGTTAAGAAGAGATCTCGTGC